TTAGCAGAGAGAGTTAGCGTTGAAGCTGGCAGCACCAGTGAGAAACCCAAAGGGACCTAAAAGGAAAAATCAATGGGCAAGGAAGGTGTCCCGTTCCTTTCGTTCTTGGCCGTTTCCCGTGGTACTTCTTTATCCCTGCTCCACTGACCATTTCTGCCTTAATGGGCTGCCTTCTAATCGTAAACTCCGCTCTCGTGTGAAGTGATTTCGGCCCAAAGACATGTACTGAAAAGCTCTAAGAGCAGTTTCCTCTCCGTTTGTTCTTTGTTTTTTATTCGTTTTGTTCATCGTTTCAACTCCCGCGGAATGCGGCGTAAGGCCGATGTCATAGTTTGCGAATCGAGCGATTCGCTAGCGAATCGAACTTTGCACCAGCGAGTCGAACGATGTACCAGCGAGTCGAACTAGGTACCAGCGACTCAATAGTGGCGGGACCCAACGTTCAAAGGAAGCCCGCCACTTTCAAACAGTGTCACGTGACAGTGGACGCTGTTTGAAAGTGGCGGGACTTGACAGTGGACACTGTTTGAAAGTGGCGGGCTTCCTTTGAACGTCGCCACTATTGAGTCGCTGGTACCTAGTTCGACTCGCTGGTACATCGTTCGGCATCGTATAAGTTTTATAGCTGAGTAAGTTCCTATACGTTCATCTCGTTATTTTATCTATAGTGTACACTGAAGAAATAGAAACAAAAGAGACGTGCTTCTTCTCTCATTCATTACCTTTCATCTGGCTTTCCATGCGATTTCTTAATGTATTGCAAGCACTTCTGGATGAAATTCGAATGCATACGGCAGTAAACGTAACATTTGCATCAACCATTCCAACATGTTCTTGTGAGCTTTCGTTCACTCTGGCTAGTGAGATACAAAAATCATGTTTATCATGTCTTGAGCTTGCGGTGGAGAGATCCCATTCTCTTGCTCTCTGTTCCTGCTCACTTTGCCATGACATGATTCCTGATTCATTCACATGATTCCTATGGAGCTAGTTCTCTAACCCCGTAGTCACATATCGATTTCTTTTCATACCTTGAGTCTTCAAATCTTTACCATTAATATGTATATGGTGACTAATTCTTAATTACCAGTGGTTAATTTCATCTTCATCCATTCCATTCTATCATTTTCTTACCACCGTGACTGATTCACTCAGGCGCATACTATTCGCAAATCATGGCGCCTCCTACTGAAAAGCGTCGCCAGCCGCTGGCATCCGGAAGGGACCAATGAGGGTTCCTGGGCGATTTCTACAGGGGGACACTGAATTGGCGCAAGTAATTGATTTGTGACGTAAGCAAACCAGCCCTTTTGGCGTTTCGGCTGGGACCGTATGCTGAATGTTGGGGAGGGGATGGGGTCCCCAACGGTCGACGGTTTACTTCAACTCGGTTGGTACGATAGGAGAGTACTGACGCAAGTGGTGCAGCTGGTCCAGCAGCTCCGCCAGAAGGGCTGGTTTGCTCACCCCAGGACTAAGCCTTGGAGAGGGGACGGACCCGTCCTCTCTTTAAGGCTTAGTTCTGAGGTAAGCACCAAATTGTGGCGGTTTTAGGGACCGCGTTGAAGTTGTCCCTCCACCGTCGGGGACACCATCCCCTCCTCAACATTCAGCATACGGTCCCAG